TGTGTTAATAATTTAATGCATTAATGAATAATAGTAAAAGGAATTACAGCTGACCAAATGTATACCTTTCAAATGTGACATTTATTTCCTTTAAATTGGTTCTATGTAAAGATAACTGTGCTTCTATTTTTCCTCGAAACTAACCCATGTTTCTTGTGAAAATGGATGTTACCCAAAAATTATGTTGTAGTATGCAAGAAATCTGTTTCTTTTATGCTAATGATAAATTGATGTAAAAAGTTTCTTTTGGCTGAGTATATTCTTAAATATTAATAAAGATAACAAGGGAGATTCCAGTTAGAACAGTAGCCTGAACTATGGGAAACACAAATTCAAATTCCTGACATACTTGCATGTTGATAATTCTTTCTCTCCTTAACTCCTCTGTCTGTTATTTATAAGATAAAGGGTTCAACCACCATTCTTCATTTTCAATAGTTGTATTTATTTTAGAACAATGATTCTTTCACTAGTATTAGATTCATTAAGGGTAAGTTAAGTGCAAGCTACAAACTGGTTAGGTAGCTCTTCTTCAGAAAAGGATCTGTACAGTATAAGGGACATAAATTTTATAGAAGTCAATGATGCCATGCTATTGTGACAAAGATTGGACTGTTGCAGCAGAAGTAAATAGATTGCAAGGCACGTCATGTCATAAACTCTACATAATATTGGCACCAGCTTATCTGAGTATCATGGTCACCTTGGTCCGCTGCTTGTCAAGAAAGGCATGGAACAGCTGAAGACCAGAGGAAATAAAGAATGATAAAAAATTTGGGAAAGGTGACCACTAAGGAACTATTGAAAAAAATAGCAGTTATTTAACCTGAGGAGGGAAAGGCCAAGGAAAGGTATGATAGCAGCTTTCCATTAAGTCAAAGAAGAAAGGAATAATCTGCTCTCTGTGGCTGTAGGACCGGACAAGAATTAATGCATTTTTGGTAAGAACATTTCTACATAGAAAGAAAATGTTTCTTATTGAACAAATTGCAGCGTTAGAATGGATTGCTGCTTTCTCATTGAAACTTTCCTTACTGAAAAGTCTCTGAAAAGGATAGATAAATATCTGTCAAGAATGGCAAAAATAGTGTATTTTGTCTCTCAACAAGAGAGTGAACTAAAAAGAAATTCCAATACCCATTTCAATTCTACTTTTCATGATTTTTTGAAAGCAAGGCACTTCAAAACAGCAAACTGGACATTGGTTTTCAAACTACATAAAAACATACCTCTCTGTCTCAAACAAATTCACAGTTGTCAACACCATTTAATACAATAATGATAGCCATTACAAAAATAAAAGCATATTAAATAGCATTTCTTCTGCATTTGTTAATCTTTTTAGATTTTAGATTTTAGTTTAATACTCTTTCTCTATTCTGAAAGGTATTTACTTCCATTTCCGAAATACAGAATCATAGTTATTGAAAAATAGGACTAGAAAGGAACCTACAGTTCTATCAACCAGATCTTTCAAGAAAGTACAGAATGTAGCAAAAGAGACAAAAGCCACTTATAGAATCACATTTAACACAATTTCTATTTTGAAAGCAAATCTTCTACAAATACTCCATGGGTACCGCTGCCCAGCCAGTTTTGCTCCGTCCTAACACAGCTTTTTCAAGACCAAGATCATTTGCAGTGAAAATGTTATAGAAATCAATGTCAGAAGTTCTACTAAAATTACATCAGATATAGGGTTATAATCACTGTATAGTATAACCACTGTGGTTTTTAATTGCATTGTGCTTATTTTTAAAGATTTAATAAATCCTTAAAAAACTTTAAAGAATCTTTAGTACCTCTTAAGTATGAGGGATCTTAGATTTCAATGACAGACTCCTGCTTAGTAACAACATCATAACAGACAAAGCACGAGTCTTCGAAAAAATCTATAAATTATATCCCAATAGCCTATTTCTTTCAAGTATATTTAGGTCTATAAGATAACACTAACTTGGAATTATTATAAAATTTATGTGACCTGTTTTCATAGAATCATAGCATTATAGAATGGCTTGGGTAGGAAGGGACCTTTAAAGATCACTTAGTCCACCCCCCCAGCCATGGGCAAGGACATCTTTCACTAGATCAGGTTGCTCAAAGTCTGGTCCAACTTGACCTTGACCAATGATGGGACATCCACAACTTCTCTGGACAACCTACGTCAGTGTTCCACCACCCACACCATAAAAAATTTCTTCCTTATACCCAATCTAAATCTACCCTCTTTCAGTTTAAAACCATCGCTCCTTGTCCTGTCCCTACAGGCCTTGGTAAAAAGTCTTTCTCCAGCTCATGTATAAGCCCCCTTTATATGCTGAAAGGCCACAATAAGGTCTCCCCAGAAAATTCTCTTCTCCAGGCTGAACAACCCCAGTTCTCTCAGCCTTTCTTCACAGGAGAGGTGTTTCAGCCCTCTGACCATTTTCATGGCCCTCCTCTGGACTCCTCTAGCAGGTCCATGTATTTCTTGTAGTGGGGACCCCAGAGCTGGATGCAGTACTCCAGGTGGGATCAGTTTTATAATCTGTCCTTTGAAAGAAGGCAATTCCAATAGGATATTACCATTTTAAGGTGGTACTCAAAGAGCATCAATACACTACTGTACAAATGTTGTATGCTACTGTTTGGATAATAGAAGGACATAGATTTTAGCATTAATAACAATTTCATAAAATATCCAGTAATCAGACAATTTGCTTTGACCAGTTAAGGTACTCTAAGCAATTACTTGCCTGATATACAACAAAAGATGAACTGAATTTACGTATGAAGTGTACACAATATTATTATCATTCTTGCTAATACATCGTCATCATGAGAAAGTAAATGAAGGTATTAATTTTATTCATATTTGTATTTTGGAGGTGTCTGAATATGCAAAGCAACATCACAGCCTCATCATGCTACAATGTAAATAAACACAGTATTTCAAATAGCATCTGCCTCTGTCACATGCTATTATTGCCAAAGTGTATAAAGTATGAATGTTACCTTTGAACTGAATAAATGTTTTAATTTAAAAATATAATTAATTCTATTGTTCAAAAACTGGAATTAAACCATCATGCAATGATTCACATTACTTCACAAATAATTTGATGGCTGCTACTGATCCTTTTCATTGCAGAGCAGCTTAACACAATAAAGTAAATTTCTCAGCTTGGCCAACTGATTAATTTCATAAGCCATTTTCTGATACAAAAATTCAAAAAACCATAACTATTATGAAATAGCATCCAAAGTATTTTTAAAAATACATAACTATTGTCTGAACCTTCAGAGACATACTTTAAAAATAAGATACTCTTTATTATTCACTGCATCATTTACACCTTTTACATAATGTAATCAAAGGATTTAAATAACTCAATTTAATATTTATCCAGGAACTGGCAGCCAGCATGCTACCCTGAGGGACATAAATCTTCATAAAAAGCTCATTTTACAAGACACTGTGGCAGTTTTGGCATTACCAGCACCTCTCACATAAACCACGCTGAAAACTATAGTTTATCCTGCCAAATGCCTTTTGTACATATGGTGTTTAACAGTGCTCTGTAGGTCTGTAAGCCAATAATAGATTTAAGCAAAAAATCAGGAGACACACATATATGTAACACAAAAATTTAAACAATGCTACATATTCGTATATATATATATATTCCTACAAACGCCACATGCATATACATGATTAAAAGCATTCTTTAAATTAATAGGCTAACTATAACTCTTGTAAAAATAATTTTGCTTTCAATTTGCAGTACCTTCCTAAAGTTTAATTCTTCTTCTATTGAAATCAGAGGCAGAACTTCCATTAACCTCAGCAGTACAGAATTATGCCACAAGAAACACAAATAAATGTATTTAAAGACAGCATATACACGTTCGTAAAATCTTCTAACTATGCAAGGATGGGCTTGGCACTTTATGAGGTTAACTTCCCCGGTAAACTTCCAAATGAAATTTTAAAATAACATATTTTAAATACTATGTCTTTGATTAGTGGTCTACAAATACTGTATATAACAACAGAATAAAATCCAGTTATGTACTACATGTGGTAAGAGATGGACCTGATGAAATGTACAATGTAGGTAATAACAAACTTCACAACCATTTTTACATTTCAACAGTCTGATTTTATGTCATACCCTGATTGAAACGAACCAGTGAGTTAAGTAGTATTTAATGCAAGTCTTCTTTAGAATTAAGGCAGTTTTTATAAAGATGAGTGACAGTTAAAAGTGTTCATATATTGACAACTCCATAACATAAAATAATGCTAAAAATGCTTACCACTTTCAAAACAGGCATCAAATATAAGATGTCCTTTTTTAGGCTGTCCACAATAACCAGCTGGGAGAACAGTGTACTTGCTCACGTTCCCTGCTATGATGTCGTCACTTCCTATGGCACTACCTGTTGCAGTAAAAGCAAAAAAAAAAAGCATGAGCATAAAACAAAAAAACTATAAAAACCAGTAGAAGAATATTCATCCATGCTTTTCTACATAACATGAAATTAGCACCATTTAACTTATGCACTGTATTTCTTTTCAAAGTTTATTTAAGAATTCGTATATAAGTATATAATCATAGAATCATAGAATCACTTAGGTTGGAAAAGACCCTTAAGACCATCGAGTCCAATCATTAACCTAGCACTGCCAAATCCGCCACTAAACCATGTCTCTAAGCACCACATCTACATGTCTTTGAAATAACTTGAGGCCATTTCCTCTTGTCCTATTGCCTGCTACTTGGGAGAAGAGACCAACACCCACCTCACTACACCCTCTTGTCAGGCAGTTGTAGAAGATGATAAGGTCTCCCCTCAGCCTCCTTTTCTCCAGGCTAAACAACCCCAGTTCTTTCAGCTGCTCCTCATAAGACTTGTGCTCTAGACCCTGCGCCAGCTTCATCGCCCTTCTCTGGACACGCTCCAGTGCCTCAACATCTTTCTTGCAGTGAAGGGCCCAAAACCAAACACAGTATTCAAGGTGCGGCCTGACGACTGCCAAGTACAGGGGGACGATCACTTCCCTACTCCTGCTGGCCACACTATTCCTGATACAAGCCAGGATGCTATTGGCCTTCTTGGCCATCTGGGCACACTGCTACTGCTGGCTCACATTCAGCTGCCTGTTGACCAACACCCCCAGGTCCTTTTCTGCCAGGCAGCTTTCCAGCCACTCTTCCCCAAGCCTGTAGCATTGCATGGGGTTGTTGTGACCCAAGAGCAGGACCCAGCACTCAGCCTTGTTGAACTTCATACAGTTGGCCTCGGCCCATCAATCCAGCCTGTCCAGGTCCCTCTGTACAGCCTTCCTACCCTCAAGCAGATCAGCACTCCCACCCAACTGTGTCATCTGCAAACTTACTGAGAGGGCACTCAATCCCCTCATCCAGATCATTGATAAACATGTTAAACAGAACTGGCCCCAACACTGAGCCCTAGGGAACATCGCTTGTGACCGGCTGCCGACTAGATTTAGCTCCATTCACCACAACTCTTTGGGCCCAGCCATCCAGCCAGTTTTTTACCCAGCAAAGACTGCTGGCATCATATGTTAAAGCTTCTCCAAGTAACAAACCACATACATGCATTTCCTATGGCTGAACACTCTTGTATACAATAGTCTGATATTCAGTTGGATCCGCTTCTTTTGACTGGAGCCCTCTAATGCATACATTCTGCATGGATTCCCTAGAACTGAACTCCTCAGCAGCATCTTCCTCACTATAGGCATTAATGGGATATTTTTCCTCTATCCCGCTGCCTATTTTTATGCATCTTAAATTAACTTAGAACCTTTGTGACTGTTAAGTCCCAGTAGTATTTGAAATTTGAAAATTATTAGAATGGAGAGACATACACTCATGGAGGCATGTGATTATCTGAGCCTTGCTTGCTTAGGAAACAAAACTCAGAAAAAGAACTCAAATAAAGAAATTTTTTTTTAAATGTGGGGTTTATTTCATAATAAAATATATATATGAGGACATGAATTTTCTATACAATGGCATGATTTTTGTCAAAACATATCAGTAGTGTATACATCAAAAGCTTTGTCCTTCCAGTAAAATTATACTGTCTAACAAATAGCAGTATGCAAAAAAATTGTTTCTAAATAGGGATGGAAGAACACAATGTTTTTTTTTTCATTTGAGAAATGAACAAGAAAGTAAGTTAATATTTGCATATTATATTACACATTAATATTATAGTATAGTGAAAGAAATATACAATAGTATAACTAGCTGTTCATTCTTCTGACATTGGTTCAGCATTTTCTTCACTATTTACTGTTTGGACAACAAATATTTAACAACATCTTCCGTGTTACAGAAAACTAGAAGAAATGTGTATGTCTTCAAGTGCAGAAGGCATGTGATGGAATAATGGGATGATAATATCTTATTTCACTCTGATAAATAGGGCTACTAAGGCTTCTAGAAATAGACTTTTGGTCTGTACTGATTTTTTGACATTTAAATGGGTTATGGGGGATGATGAATGTGACATAAAGCTCAATTTGTTTTATTTTTATATTGAAAACTATTTCACACAAATGTTACAAGCAATTCATATTGGCCCTGAATGATGAAAACAGCTTATTAATTAAAACTGACCTTTCCATACATAAATGTATTTCACCTCTTGAGGCAAAACACCTTAGCTGAGGTAACAAATTATACCAACGTATTAGTGACACCACAGTTAAAGGGTCTGTCAGGCTTTCTATTATATACCCATATTGTCAGAGGTATATAAATCCCAGATTAAAAAATATGTATATCCAGGTCAACACTCAGCATATAAATCCCCAGTCTTACCAGGGAAGAAATTTGAAATTTACCCTCTTTGAGAAGTACTACAACAGAACAAAGAGAATTTAGACCTTTTCTTACTTTATCATCATCCAAAAACTTAGATATTAAATAATGCATACAATTATTTCTTAGCAAAATTATTTGCAACCTCAAGATTATGTTTCAGACTGAATAATTACCCACAGATAGCAATATGCAGCATTTAAACTGTTTTCTTTAAGTGTAAAATTGCTACTTATTATATATTTAGCTAGGTGGTTTATACCAGCATGCTGATACAACTTGCTTAAAGGCTGGTAACACCACAGGCAAACTTAGACCTGGATGGGGCATCTTATGCATCTGTATTGCCATGATCATGTCACTTAATACAATTAATCCCTCTGCATCATGCAACCTGTAATTCAGAACAGCAGACACAGGAAAACCATTTCCTCAGTTTCAGTTCAGTGACACTTTGATTAAAAGCCCCCATATACTTGTCGCACTCAGTCAAGTTAATAATTTGTAATCCAACACACGGAATCAAGGATACAATGAAATATTCAGGGAACACCTGGAGATCTCCACCAAGAATGTATGAGCTGCCAGGGACCAAAGTGAAAGAATGGGATGCAGGGAGTCAACTGAGTAGAGCAGTAAGACTGAACTCCTCATGGTAAATGCTTGCTTGTAAGTCCCAGCTAAAAGCAAAAGGCTTCTTGTAATTCTTAAAAGATAGCTGAAAAACACCACTCAGGTGAAGATGAAGAAACTAGAAAAGATTACATTCATACTACTGCCACCATAAGACAGTGCAGGAAAGGCAGGCAGAAGACAGAGCTACATCTCCCTTTCCACCTGACAAATGAGAAAATCTGCCGATGGAGTCTTTACATGACGCAGAAGGAAGCTGTGAAGTAGCTGTGTCCTAGCAAAGGTTTCCATCTACTCTCCCGGCCTAATGTAGCCACTCAGGAATGCGAATAAAATCATCAAATAGCCTATAATTCATAGCCATTTAATAATATTAATCTCTCTGTGTATGTTCTTTATTACAGTACTTTGAATATTCAGAATGTACTGTTGCTATGAGTTATATTATCTTTAGTTAATCTCTAAACATGTAAAACTGCAGTCTTTGAACTTCATGTTATTATACAGCACAACAGCATTATGTCCCTTCTGGCTTGTTCTCCTTGGGCAATAAAGAAAAGGCCAGACTACCAGCCCAAAAAGAGCCTGCATTGCTGTATTACTAGATTATAAGACAAAGCTTCACGCTTGCCTGTTCAGCAGATGCAGCGAGTGTTGCTGAGAATACATTACCATCTTCAGATGGAGAGAACTGTTATACTCTGCCATAAGTCCTCTGGCCAATAAAGAGATACTGTCCTCGCAACTGGAGAGCCCTAAGTAGATTTTCCTGACTGAAGGCAAAGATGTATGACAGAACCTTGCAGGGAAGAGAAATAGTACTTCAATCTGAAACAAACTGAAAGGTAAAGAGGAGAATTAACTGAAGTACATCCTGCACGTTACACTTAAGGAGACCAGATTTTCCTTTGAAGAAAGGTTAGATAAGACAAGCAAAGGCAAAAGTAACTTAGCAAAATACATTTTCTCAGACTGTAGGTCTTATTTTGTCAATTATTTTTCTTACAGGTTGTAAGACACATAGCTATTTTATTCTAATTCTTCATAGCTTAAACTCCTGAAGTCTTCAGCAAATCCCTAGGATTTACTTTTACCACAGTATTAAATTCTAATGGTAATTTTCTATCAGGTATAAAATCTGTAGGTGTCTGAAATCTCTGTAAGTATATAAGATTTTAAAATAAAACCTGGACCGACTCTTCTGGTATCTGCATTCACCACTATTGTCATCGTGGATATATTTCAAATCAAACTATGAAAATGAATAGAATCAGTTTCAGGGGACTGGGATTCTATGGAGGAAGAGTTTGGAAACCTCCAGAGCTTCTTGCTATTCTTAAGTTCAAAGGATAAAGCCAACTTTTTTTTCATTTAAGCAAAGATGAAAACAGTATTTGCTACAATAAACATCATGCAAATTTAGCTTCATTTTCTTTAAAAAGTGCACTTTCTAGAGGAAGGTACCTCTTTAGTAAGTAATAGTTACTCTTTGAAGTTGGTAAACAACGAGCCCAGCTTCCAGCTGCAACAAACTTCAGAATCCACAAAGTTACAGCCAGCAGCTACCCTCATGCTACATTAGGTAGGAGAGCACAGCTGCATTAAAACAGACATAGAAAAATATAGAGTGAATTTGCCTGGAAAACCTGCATCATTCTTACAATCAGACTTACTGCCTAACAAGGATTGCCAATTAGAAAGGTAAGGTAACACGAAAAGATACAGTACCTGCAAGTGAACTTTGTAGAAGTCTGTCTTTAAATAATACAAATGTCTTTAAGACACCTCTCACTCCGTTTTGAGATCCTTATTTTAGAACAAAATTAGGATACATTTTGCTACTGAAAATTTCTACAGTGTTAAGATCTAATAGCCAGATTCCCATCATCGGGGGGCCAAGAAAAGTTTCCCGGTATCCTAACAAAGAGCTTCATCAGCCTTGAGCAGTATTGTTATTGTAAACCCATATAAAGAAGTGAATCTGAAGTCTCAGTACAGTTTGCAACAAACAAAAATTCATTCAGATGGCCAATGGCAACTCCTATTAGCTCCTAAATATAACAAGTCTCTAGATGAACATTGCTGAACTCACGTTTTGGACAAGTAACACTTATGGAGGATATGCCAGTAACAGTGTCTTCTCCATAAAGCAAAAAACTGCAGTGCAATTTTAGCAAAATTCTTCTATATGATAGCATTTGTAGAAATCTATAGTTGTAATAGCTGATTATGTTCCCTTGTTCTTTGATTATTTTTTTTTTAAAATAAAAGCTTTTATATCATTGTCCCTAGGCTTCAGCAGCACTGATATTCAGGAAGACTTGTTATTTCTGCTATCAGCACTGAATGCTCTATGACCATTCTAAAAATCCTACAGGCAGCAGCAGGCAGGAACTTGGAATTCCAGCTCCACTGGCTGAACACAACTATCATTTTGATCTTCACAGCCATGTATCCTGCAGCAAGGATTGGGCCTGACCCTGAGAATCTAAACATACTGCAGAGTGTTGTCAGTCTGAAAGGTAGTTAATTCACAGTCACCGTGATCTGAAAAGAAATGGAAGAAATTATGTTAAGACTACAAATCCAGGGTTTGCGGGAATACCCGGCGTGGTACCAACCACATCTGCTGCCTCACATTCAGGTACTGTGCCCATACTGTCACCAGTACCTATTTCAAAGGTCAAGCAGAACAAGGAAAATGTTGATTATCACAGACAGCATTCTCATACAGCTTGGTCTAGTTCTAAAAAACAGTAACATTGCGTTGTCATTTAGAAACCCAATTTGTGATAAAGTGTCTTTAAAGTAAATGTCTCTTCAATTATTTTCCTCCTACAGTTTGACCAACAGACTGCTTGTCAAGACTCGGTCTCCAAACTAGCTGTACGAGTATATTCAAATTCAAAAAACATGCAGAATAGAAGACAAGCACTAGTTTAGCAGAGATTATCAGGTAAAATCTGAGTTTTGCAAAGGTTCTGAAAGTACTCAGGAAAAATAAACTGCAAGCTTACTGCCACGGACTTGAAAAAGCTTGTGGTAGGTTGCATAAATAGGAAGGAAACATTGTAATTTATTGTTTGGATTTTTTTACTTTTAACTGCACAAATTACTCTTTCTACAGAGGCTACCAGACAACATATCCTTTTAACCTTTCTAACACAATTCCTCAGCTAATGCACCATTAACTTTTTGTTTTGGTTACAAGGCATAAGTACATCTAAATACCTCATACTTCTTTAGATATACATAGACAAACTGATTTACTCTAGCAGAAGGTATGGCATTGGTGTCTCAGTCGAAGCTGAGAGTGGAAAAAGTCTTGTTCTTATATGCAAACATGTCAAAGCAAAATGATCACTAAAGGTGTCACACGGGGTCCCTACAAAAGGCTTGGTGGTACCCTAAAGAGCACTTTGCTTAAAGCTGAGCAGACAGCAGGCAGCCCAAAAATAAGTAGGAATAAAAAAGTACATAATGTGCTTAGCCCAAAACAGAGCTGTCAACTTACTGGCAGATCAAGTATAAAAAGACGAGGAGAAATGTCCACTGCCTGGTCCATTCAAATAAACTAGATGCAGATAGAAGTACAATTAGCAATCCAAGGTCAATTATAGCTCTTTTCCAAAATCTAGTGAAGAACAATGAACTGAAGACAACATCTGGCAGACAAATGCTGCTCTGAACAATGATTCCTCACTCCCAGTGGCTGACATTGCCTTACGAGTTTACCAGAAAAGAAAACAAGCCAACTTGTGTTGACTTGTACTCATTTTATATATATTATTTGTTTCCAATCTTTAGTTTAAAAGCATAACTTTGGGCTTTACTTCAAGAGCGTTTATTTATTATCTCAATGTGGGCTATCTCCAAGGATATACCTTCTTGTCAGGGGCAAATGGCAATGGAATTTCTGTATCACTTTAGTGAAACACAAAATGTCCAAGAAGGTATGAAGTTTTTCCTCATGAAAATAAAAAAAACAACAAATGCTTTGAACTCAGTAAGCAAGAAAAAAATAATATCCATTACTCCTTTTACTGTATTTATAATCTTTAACCTATCCACTAAAACACTTATCACCAGAAATTTAAAAAAAAATACTGAAAAAAACAGTAGTGCCAAATATGTTAAATGAAAGTATGTTTATTTAAAAACATTGTAAGAATCAGTGAATTTCATCTGATACACAGATTTATTCTTTAACAAGTATTTGGCATCTTGATAATATCAAAGATATCACATGATGCAACAGTTGCTATAGTAGCAATACTTTAAACAATAAACAGATCAAACGAAAGCATAAAAGATATACATTGTAAAGAAAAATATGATGCATCGCATACATCCCCAACTAGCCGAGAAAAGAGTAAATAATAGCTACCGAGCTCAGCTAGTCCTCGGAGTTGCATCTGCAAGAAGTAATGGTGTCAGCAAGTCCATCCTTCCTGGGAGATAAGAGGTGGCTCAGAGACTTAGGTCTGCATATGAATAACAGGAGATGCTGAAACACCAAGTGAAGAGTGCATAGGAATTCAAGTTCTAGGTCAGCAAAAGATTTTTTGGGGGTGTTCCTACCATGCAAGAGGAAATTCTGTGTCTAGAGATTCTGAGGCAGGAAAAGAACTGAAAAGTGAAAGTGGATCCTTTGTGTTGTACTACAGAACTTCAATGGGTAGAACTTTCTTTTGTAGGGTCCCATGTGTTTTTAAAATCTGTAAGAAACTGATTTCCCAAAAACAAGGAGTGCAAAAAACCACCGAGTCCAAACAGTCTGGCACTGTAGTTGGTAACAAATGCCAGGTAAGGGCAAAAGCTCATGATACAAAACTGGAGAAAAAAAAAGGAAGTTGGTGGCTGAAGTCACTCACCAGTATTCGCTGGTACTATCCTAAAATGCTGTAAATATTTCCCATGCCACCTAATCTTGAAACAAATCAGCTTTTATACACCTGGTTTTGTATTATATGTGGAGGAGGATGGAGAAAGTAGGAGGAAAGGAAGGGAAAGGTTCATGGATATAAGATATGTGTATGTATATATATATACACATATGTATGTTAGTTATATATCCATGTTTCAACAGCTGCTCCAGATACGAAGTGCTGATTTAACAAAAGCAGGATACCTAGCTTAAACTTTCAGGTATATTAATGAGACACATGCATATACTATGTATTTTCAAAAATTTTCTTTGACAAGCTTTTTAAATGCAGAATGATTACCTGCAAAATGCTTACTAAAAGATATTTCTGAAATATTTCAAGAAATAGCACCAGCCAAAGGATATTGATTCAGTTAGTTATAGTCGGTGCAGATCAAACTTTAATTTCCATGTATAATACTTCAGGTTTCATACAGAAGGTATGAAACAGACGGACTTAATCCATACTTACACGGATAAAGCAACAGAGATATGGCCTACAGACTACATTGACCATTTCCCTCCTGTGCAGTAAAATCATGTTTTATTGCAAAAATGGTTTTCAGTATAAGAATATTACTTCCTCCATGGCTTTTTTTTTCTTTATCCACAATGCATATTCTAGAATAAATAGTTTTTTCTGATTTAAAAGCACAAATCGTGATTAACCAACAGTCAGATTATGATATCCTAACCAGCAGCGAGCACTATGCTAATCAGGTGGTGTTTATCCTAGAAGAACAGCATAATTAAAATTGGTTTAATGACAGCATAACTGAAAGAAGTAATAACAAAATAAATTTCTACATTAAAAATAACTCACGTTGAAGCAAGCTAAATGCAACTAAGACATCTGATATGTAGCAACCAATGCAATCACCCTGACCCATGACTACGTAGCCTTCAATAACTACTAAGTTGAGATCTCTGTAAATCAGCAACTGTGCATGACTCTTCTTTAGGACCAACTGATTCTCAGCTGGGAAACTGAAAAGGACCCAACATGTAATAATTATTCCTGATATAAGAGAGAAGTAGGTTTATTTCAGCTTTCTCAAAAGGCCAAGGCTTTATTTATTTTAGTTATCCTAGGTTTCATACTCCTCAGTCCTGACTATTAAGTTCAAAATGCTTTCCCACAAAAAGCATCTTCTGAAAGTACTAAGTATGGAGTACTGTAGAAGTTTTTCAAGAGTATTGGCAAGATTGAGTAAGAAACATATGAACAGTGATTTTTCTGCTTATGAAAATTAGCCCTTTTGTGTCAAATTCATAGCACTTTTAACGTCTCAATGTGTTTGCT